AAAACTTCTTATTTCCTCTAGAAAAAGATTAATTAGCATTGAATTGCTTAAATTATTAACAATGTTTGACTTATTCTATATATTTTATAAGGATGATTTATCGAAAGATTGTTATTATAAGTGTAGTTTAAAGTACTCGCTAAAGAACAGTTCAATTTTTGGTTATGAATGCTAGTTAAGCTAAAATTTTCCAAAAGCTTCATCTTTGGGTCTAAAACTAGTTCTAATAAGCCAGAACAATATATACTATCCTAAGCATAACATCCTAAACAAGGTACTAGCTAGTTCTTTTAATTTAACAAAAACTAGTAACTAATCATCAATAAAAAGTAATTAAACTAAAATAAGGTTTGATAGATAAGATTGTGTGGGGGAAAAGAACATGATTAAGACCAATCATCAAAATAAATTAGATAAAACAATAACCATCAATAATATGATACATCAGTTATGATTTCAAAATATACAATCATGACACGTATCAAGTTCTCTAATCAAGTTTTCACTTTTATTAGTACATATTGACCTTTTATGCATAAATTAGTGCAAGTGATGAATTCATTGGCAAATTTCAACATAAATTTTACCTTGAAGTGAAAATGGGTGAAATTTGACCCTTTATTGGAGGTAAAATTGTGTGTTAAAAATCAACAATTACCATCAACCTACCTCAAACAAAAACCATATTGAATTATTGATGTTTTATTTTCAAAATTTTGCTTTGAAAACTTAAGGTTGTAGTGCATTCATTTATTATTTTATTTTACTACTAAGAGAATGATAATAATAAGTGTAAAATTAAAATAATTGTATTTAATGTCTCCTTAAAATGAAAGTGTGACAACTAATCAAGATCTCAATTTAGTAAGAAAAAAATATTGTGATGTGAAGTATATCATATTACACAACTTAAATTATTGAATAAAAGCCTTATTGAATTGTATAACTTAAACCATTAAATAAAGATTCCTTAATTTTAGAGACTATCTATCCATCTCATAATTAATGTTTTATAGACCTGGCATAATTGGACCCAATCAAAAAATCTAACCCAACCCATCCGTTATAGGTTGAGTCATGAGTTTTATGTGTTAATCCGAAATCTGAAATAACTAAAACTAAAATTATTCTAACCCAAATGGATTGAATCACAGGTGGTCAAGTCACCCGAAATGACCCAAATTTTTTTTATTCATCTTTTATTAGATTACTTAAAAATTAATTTTTAATTTTTAATTTCCTAATTTTAAAAGTAAAAATAAATAAAATACACAAATCCTAACCTCCCATCAATTTCACCTTCTCTTCTCCACTCTCGCTCTTCCCTTTTTCATCTCAAGCTCCTTAATCCTTATCTTTGGTGGCACTTATATAAAAAATCAAATTAAGTGGCACATTGTCAACTGTATCATATGGCATCATCAAAAATATATTTTTTTTTAAATAGAAAGTAAGAATACTTGTTGAAAATCAAAACCCAGTGGTTGAGGTATCATCATTACCATTAGAAGCACAAAGACAAAAACATCAAGAACATTAAAATTTGTTCTTAGTTGCTCATTTATTCTTAGTTAATAATTTGCTCCTAGTTAATAAAAATAAGTCTTGATCCAATTTCTTCTTGTATTTGTTTAAATATATTTTGGATTTGCCTTTTGAACTTTAATATTGAATAAAGCTATATTTTTTGTATAATGCATTTCTAAATATCGACTAAAACTATATTTTTTGTATAATACTCTTACGAATATTGAATAAGCACTAGATATGAAAATATATATTGGATTTGTCTTTTGAATTATGATCCTTCATATCTCTTCTTTTAATAAAGGTTAATATCCTTATGAAATTATAAACTTTAAATATTATATAGGCATTATATATGGTGCTAAGGTCTCCTTTTGGAGACAAGTGTGGGTGGGATCCCATAGCTTAGAAGTAATGTTCCCTCGATTATCTTATCTTTCCACAGATAGACAAAGCACGGTGCAGCAAATGGGAGAATGGATAGGTGGTTCATGGAGATGGAGATTAAAATGGAGGAGAAGATTATCAACAAGGGAACAGGACCAAGAAACACAACTTCGGAGCACCATACAAAATGTGCAAGTTCGAAAAGAAGCCGACGATAGATGGTGGTGGAGATATGAAAAAGACGGTGAATACACAGTAAAATCAGCATACAAGATGCTAACAACAACAGAAGAAGGGGATGAAATCAAATGTCTTAAGAGATGCTGGAACTCGACAATCCCATTGAAAATCTGTGCTTTTAGTTGGCTGTCAGTGCTTGGACGTACACCCTGCAAGGTAAACCTCCTGAAGAGGAATATCATTACACAAGAAGCAGATGCTAAATGTAGTTTCTGTGCAGAAATAGCAGAAAATGAGGACCACCTACTACTGTGGTGTGATTTTTCAGGAAAAATTTGGAACAAAAATCTCGCATGGTGGGAAATCAAGTATGTCATGGCCAGGAGTTGTAAGGATGCTTTTCTCCAACATAGCTGGGCGGGTAGATACCAAAAAGGGTGGCAGGTGATATGGTATGCTACAATCTGGGCCTTATGGTCAACTCAGAACCGTAGAATTTTTGAGGCAAAGCAAGTGTCCATTGACGAAGTGTTCCACATGGTACAATACAACTCATACTACTGGATAAAGAGCAAAATTGAAGGCTGGACATACTCTTTTGCGGACTGGTGCAATGCTCCAAGTAGATGCCGAATAGTTAAAGTTCCAAATCAAAGATTGATAGAACTTGAGCAAGGTGAGATGATATGATGTCTGCAGTAGATGAAGGTGTTTTTTAATCAGTAGGGGTTTCCCGTGCCAGTGGGTTTGATGATCAAAACAGTGAGATATGGAGAAATTGCAAAAGAGGGCAGAAAACCCGACACGGGTGTGGTGTCGACACATTAATTTGGTGTCGACACCATACGGTGAGCG